TAAACTTTTTGTCTATAAAATCTTTAGATGCTCCGGAATCTATCAAGATTAGCGCGTTTCGACCTTGCACTTTTCCTCCTTCTAGATGAAACCTATTTTTTTCAAGATTCAAAACAGTCAACGTGGAATTCTTGCAAAGTGCATCCGCCAATGCTTTTGCTCCTTCTGGTCCAATCGAATTATTTTTAAGATTCAAAGAAGCTATCGTGGTATTCTTACAAAGTGCATCTGCTATTGCTTTCCCTCCTTCTGGTCTAAGGTCATTATCTGCAAGATCCAAAAAGGTCAGTGTGGTGTTTTTGCAAAGTGCAACTGCTATTGCTTTTCCAACTTCTGATCCAAAATCATTCCAATGAAGGTCTAAAGAGGTCAATGTGTTATTCTTGCAAAGTGCATTTGCTAATGCTTTTCCTCCCTTTGAACCAAGTTTATTAGATGCAAGATTCAAAGAGGTCAGTGTGGTGTTCTTGCAAAGTGCATCTGCTAAAGCTTCTACACCTTCTAATCCAAGCTCAACAGATCTAATATTCAAAGAAGTCAGCGTGGTGTTCTTGCAAAGTGCGTCTGCTAGTGTTTTTCCACCTTCTGATCCGAGTTTATTATATGCAAGCTCCAAAGAAGTCAGCATGGTGTTCTTGCAAAGTGCATTTTTTAACTCGATCAAATTTTCCAATCCACATTTATTATAAGAAAGATCCCAAGTTGAAGCGCTTTGTTGATCTTCAGAACTATGCTTGTTGTTTTTGAGAATTTCTTCATAAAGCTCTAATGCTTTGAGAAATTTGCGTTGTTCAAAACATTCTTGTGCTTCGTTTCTCATATTTTTAAGAGTTTTATTATCTTGTGTTGAGAGTTTTAAATTTGTATTAGAAGTGTTATTCATACTTGATGCTGTATTATTTCTTGGGGGTAATATGGTATCTGATGTAACACGAGGAGGTAAAATAATTGAAGCAACGGCTCTATTTGGAGTTGCTAGTTTTGACATAATATCTCGCCACAAATTAGGTTCAAAGATTTGATGGTACGGGTATAGCTTATCCATAACATCTTCACCGATAATTTGAAAATATCGGATATGGGGTATACAATTTTTGAGAGTAGTTTTTAAAGTTAAAAAGTTTGCTTCTGACCACTGTGTAGGATTAGAATTAAGTTTAACGATTATGGTTTTGAATTAAAATTAGATAATCCAAGGATTAAAATAGATATATAAAATAAGATACAGTTATGTAATCTGTTGTAAAATTAGTAATATAATATCTTATTGCTTAATATTAGACCGAATATATGGACTGATTAAATATGAAAATTGAGAGAGAAAGACCACATTAAGTCTAAATATAGCATTTTATTAATTATTAAATTTATTTGTTTATACTGTATATTAAAATTTAAATATATCTATATCATTAAAACTTTAAATAAATTTCATCTAAACCAACTTTATTAATTATAAAAACAAAATTCAATTATCAAAAATTATCAAATAAATAAATTAAAATTTATACAATTTATGTTTGTTTATTTTTAATAATAATAATTATCAACACGTTTAAAATAAACAGTGTAATTTATACGTATTATTTTATTTAAAATACACATTTCAAGTAGCATTATTCAACTGATTAACCTTATATTATATTGTATTGAAGTAGATTTTTGTTAAGTTCTAGATTTTTAATATAAGATAATAACAAATAAGAGAGTTCAAAATCCGCAGAATTGCCTTATTGCATTGAACCTAGGTGCCGCACAAAATATGCGCGGCAGATCCTCGATTTTGATTGGCTAACGGCCGAGGATCTTTAAAATTTTGGTGCGCATTACATAATTGTTGACTAATTTCCGGCCGGAATTAACTATTTGATTTTTTTCTTTACAAAAATAGAATGCTATTTACCACCACTGGTGATCATCACCGGTGTTGCTATATCTCAAAATGTACTAAGTAAACAGGATCGGATACTCTAAGTAAAAATGTTCAGGACCATTGAAAACCTCATGAGAACTGAAATCGGGACTTTATATTCAATTTATATTATATTATACAAAAAAAAAAATCTTCTCTAATTCCTAACTCTAACCTAGAAATTATTGGACTGGTGATAATCACCACTGGTGATAAGTAACTTTCAAATAGAAATTAATAAAAAATAAACCGCATTATGGTAAAATTGGCCCAGGAAAAATTTTCACTTAATGGGTGGCTGCGATTTCATTAGTAAAATTATGAGTAATTCCGGCCTAATTTTTTGATCGTCGCTCTTAACCAACCAAATCGAGGATCTGCCGCGCATTTTTTGTGCGAGCACCTAGGTTCAATGCCTAATTGCATCGAACATTTCTATTATTATTGCGGTTTGCAAAAAGGGTGACCTCATGATTTTTGTTAAAATTTCAGAGATTCTAGATTTTCTATTGATTGGTCATACTTTCTAACATATTTACATATTCGTTGAAATCTGTAAGATCGGAAAATCGGTTGATCCATGATTTTACATCTGCAGAGGTCACATCTTTTTGCAAAACCGCAATAATTTTAAAATCATCTGATATACCAGCGTGGGTGAAAATTCCATTTTTACAATCTCTGTTTATAATAAAATTTTTTTGTAACGATGTATATTTGAAATATACTGGTATATTAAAGAAACTGCTAAATAAAAACCAAAATACATCATTCAGTGATTAACAAGGTCCTGTTTAAAGACCTTTCACTTACCTATTACATTAATAAATGTTATATTTTTCTACTCTGATTAATCATAACTAAAATCGTAAATATGTCGTGCCTGAAACCGCAAATCCAATAATTGCACATACATATCTGATATTTACGCACGTATAATTTTAGCATAAATGTTCGTTTAACCATGCATTTCGTTCCTGGTACACCTCTTGCAGCCATATTCGTGGCTTAGTATCTAACGCTTATAAGGTTAAAGAACTTTATATATTATTTCATTTCAACAACCTAGGGAAATTCAGATCGCCAAAATTTAATTAGCAGAATACCACAAAATAGAAAATAAACAATTTCTAACATTATTATGTCAAATAAGAAATATTAAATACTTTATCATATGAGTGACGGAATATGAAACATGTAAATCATTTCATCCATTATCATCGCAGTGACATGTACCTCTAATTCTTATAGGGTAGATAACAACTGCACTGACAATGAGTAAAATGATTTACAGGTTTTCATATCCCGTCACTCATATAGTTTTCTACTTAATAATTCCAGAGTAATTTTATATTACTCATATTTGTAAATTCAACATATTCTAATCTAATTTTTAAATATTTAAATTGTGATGCAAATTTCAAATATAAATAATTGTCTCTAAATTACATAAAATATTTAACTTGTTTTTAACTTCTTAATTATCTTCGACAAAAGTTTCTTTAACTAGATAAAGTTTGACATATGTGAGCTTAGCAGTTAGAAGAATCTTCTCAATGTGTCACAATAAGATTATTAAGTTTTATATCAAGATCTTTAAGCCTTTCATCAAGATCATTAAGTTTTTCATTAACTGTTTTTGCATCTAATTCTGTAATTTTATAAATATGTGGAAATATAAATGGTTTAGATGATTCTTCAAAATGTTCACTTCGATATTTTCGAATACATTTTTGAAGTTCTTCAATTGTAGCTGTGTAATATCTAATAAATTATATTAAATTAATAATTAAACTATATTAAACTATATAAATATTTCATAAATAGAAAGTTAAATATTTACATAATTTCCGGAAACCAATTTTTTTTTCTTCTTTGATAAGGCAACATCCAAAATAATTCAATTTCTGTTAATATCTAAAAAGTATTAAAATAAATATTAGATCAAAATAAGTATTTAACCTTTTATTATATAACATTACCTCTTTTTTTAAATGTAAAAATGATTCATCATTATTTGTATGTACAATTGCTGTACTAAGTAATCCAATAAATAAATTTAATAAATAGATGGTTGTAAAAAATGAAAATATAACTAATAAAACCACCAAAGTCCAATTTTCATTATAAACCCATGAAGAAACAGCACTTAAGTCGCCTATAAAATATTAGAATTAATTATATTCGATAAAATAAATTATGTAGTTAAAATTTAAACAATACTGTACCTGTTAACATAAAATAAACTGCGATAATTGCAGTATTAAATACAGAAAATAAATTCGTATTGGCATCTGGTGCTTCAATAAATGTATCATTACCAATAACACCATCAGGTGAAATTGATTTATATCTTGTTACAAGATTCCATGGATTATTAATATCATTATTATAGCTTGGTTGATCATACGAATATTCTGTTGTCGGTCTTAACAAAAGGTGCAAAGAATGTGCAAAAGCAAAAACTATAATACCCAATAAAACTAGAAAAGAAAAGATTTGTTGTGCAACTCCAATCATAATTGCAAAGTAATTCCCAAAATAATCTATAGCACGAAAAAAAAATAAAAATTTAATCTCAAGTAACAGAGTTGATATTGTAATAATCCAAACTGATAATGTTTTTTCATATAACCAAATTATTGAAATTATTATTGGTAATGATAATGCCACAATATCTAATAAATTAATTAAACTATAAATAAAAATTATATTTATAGTCAACAATATATAAATTTAATTAAAATTATACGTACCAAATAAATTCAAAAAATCCGTCATATATCTTTTTGGATCGTATAAAAATTGTCTAATCTCAATAATAATAAAAAAGATTCCAAGAAATATTGTAAAATTTAAGAGAATTACTTGATCACTTGAAGAAATTTCATTTTGTGAAATTGTTGCCACTATAGCAAAGCAGCACATAAAAATTGAATAAATAGCCCATATCATGTAATAATAATATTTTCCATATTTGTTCCACTTAAAATTAATTAAAGCTTTGACATTCCACCATTTATAATAATTGGAAGTATGTAAAATATTGAAAGGAATCTTTGGCAGGAAAATCAATTCTTTAAATGGAGAATAAACTTCGGGATATGTGGCGAAATTTAGTGCGGGAATCATTAATTTGACTGTTGGTTTACGATATGGAGCAAAAAAAGTTGAACGTATAAATTTTAAAGTTTTAGAAATTAGATAACTATTAGAGATCCAATATGAAACATAATTATAATAAGAAGTCGTATGTAAATCATGTGGATAATGTAGATAAACACCACAGTGTATAAGATGAGTCAAGCGAGAAATATTATTTATCCAATACTCATAATCAATTCCAGGAATCAAAAATACAGTCTGTGATAAAAATCTTTCTATAAATTTGTTATTTTCATTATATTTTTCTAAATCACAAAGTGAAGAAGTAATAGCACTTATCAATCTCGTAAATGAATAAATGTTGCCATTTTCAAGTTCTGATAAGCTTTTTTTCAGCCAAATTATAAAAACTTTTTTAACTATTTTATTATTCATATCATCTTTCTTTTTTTTGGGATCCATTAATGCATTTATGAAATCTTTTCCATAAATCTGCAAATGTGATAAACTTGTTTTATTTAAACATTCAGCTATTCGAGTATCTTCCAAATGTTTATAATGACTCTCCTCTTCATAAAAAGAGTCAATAAGTTGATCGAAAGACTTATTTTTGAATAATAAATCGAATTCATGATCTTGCGCATCCACTTGCGCATCAACTTGTACGGCACTCTTTATGTAATTAGTCCAACCTTCATGATCAACTAAATTTTCAATATATAAATGATTGTTTTCGACTTTTATAATATAATCAAAAAAAATTGCACCAGTTTTCTTCCTATTATAGTTTTCTATTTCAGATTTAAATAGCTCATCTGCATCTATAGGTTTGGTAAGATTGTGTGGATTCATTATAGAAAATTTCCTCTGATCAGTTCCATGTATGTAGAAAGAAAACAGTATTCGTTCTTCATTTTTTGACCCAATAAAGCGCATATTATCCAAAAGTAAAAGACCTTGGTTCCAAGGATCATTAAGATAATCAATTGCTACATTATTAATTTCAATTAGTAATTATTGTAACTTATAAATTAATTAATATAATAAGCATTTACATTTTTCTATCAGTCTGCCATCTTTTACTGAATAAATAGATATTTGTACAGGCTTTTTAAAGTCATCACCATGGCCTGTTCTAATCTTTGTTTCTCCTACTGATAGTAATGAATTGTCATTGTTTAAACACATTTGAAGACTTTTTCTGCTATTATATAGATTCCAATCCAAGACATATCTCTTTTCAAACTTTAAAGTTGTCAAATCCCATTGCATAATTACAAAGGGCAGCTTTAAAAGGACTAATAACTTTCCTTTTGGAGAGACATTACATTTATAATATCTAGGAAGTTCAATACTGCTCTCACATTTCCACTTATGTTTGTCATTGAAATTAAAGATATACGCTCGATAAACTGGATCCCCTTTAATAATTGCCAGACCACCGTTTTCCAGAAATGAAACTTCATTACAAAATTCACTGTAAGAGTTATCAAAATAGCCTGAATGTTTTACGACTTTTCCTTTTAGACCTTGAGCATTCAATTTTTGTCTTTCATTGTTTACAATATCAATAATTTCTATTAAAAATTATGATGTAAACCGATGGATTAACAATGCGATTTTTGAATAATAATTAAATGAAAAAATATATATATAATTTACCAAAGTTATAAGAATCTTTAGCAGAATGACCTCCTTCAACCCGTAAGATAATTTGATTCGTATCTGAAACGCCAATTAGTGCTTTAGCATCAAGATTAAGAGAATCGTAAATAGTACAATGTTTATCAAATTTAAGTTTTCCCTTAGTGATTGGCCATCTATAAATTGATGGTAGGATATTTGGTTTATTTCCAGGGCACCAAGTTGCAATATATTTCATAGTTGGAGAGCAAACAATATTCGTAATATTTTTAACATGTAGGCTGACTGATATGACAAAAATCAAAGCTTAATTAATATTTATAATCCTATATTGTTAAACTTTTAATCAAATTGTTTGGTATATAATCATCACAACTAGTAAAGTAAAGCAAACAAGGTGATCACTAGGCTAATTTTAGCTATTTTCAAATTATGTTTAGTATGCGCATTAAAATATTACAAGCATTATTTGTAATTCTTTTTTTATTCAGGTCACCAAACAATTTGACTAAATATTCTATATTTAAATTTTTGATCGATTGAAGAATGTATCGAGGATTAAATAGAAGAGAACAATATATCATATTTACCCTCAACTGGTTTAACTGGTTTATGCGTTAAAATTTCGAGAGGAGTTTCACTCATTTTTAATAGTTCTATAAGAAGTCGATAAATATCAAATACATGATATATATTGCCAAAGTGTTTTACAGTATTCGCAAAAATGGTTTAGTTTTTAGACAAGCAGATCAATTATTCAACCATTTCGTGGCTTAAGTTCAGTTTAAACAAGATATCACAATTTGTTTACTTATTTACGTAAGTTTGTGGCGAAACATCTTAGATATCAATATTTAGATTTAAAAGGTTTGGATAAGTGCGGTAAATAATATTTATAGATATGAGAAAGTTTTTATGAACCTTCAGTTTATTTACTCGAATCCTGTAGATTCTATTAAACTCCTGACAAAGTTAAAATCCTGAAAATTTTAAACATAATTATCTCTTACACTGTTTTACAAATTTACCTGCGAAATTCCGACAAATTCACTTTTTGAGTTGATCATATCGATATGTACAGTAATGTAAATTGTTATTTAAGTGTGTATAGTGTTATAAGCAAACTGAATAATCCATTTGAGGGTTTCTGCAAATATTATTTGAATTCTTCTCTTAATTTTTCGAAATCTTCATAAGCCACATGATTATTTATACAACATGACAACGTAAGCGAGTTATGTGATTTTTTTGGTCAAAAACGTGATATTTGAATAAGATGTAAGCGATAATAAAATGAAAATTTATTAATAGGAATATGTTCATTAAAATTATGTAATATAATAGAATTACGAATTAATAAGTCACTATATTAAAATAAAAAGTCGTAAAATAATATCATAAAGGAGTCAAATACCTGTGTTAAAATAATTATTCGTAGTAAACTTGATAAACAAAATGATATAGATTTTTAATTCATACTTCAAGATGACAGGCTGGTTAAATCCATCTTGCACAAAATTTATTATTTCGTTAGAAAAAATTCTGGACGAAAAGCCCTGGATAGCACCATCAGCAATAAAACTGAAATATCTTCATACCTATTATCTTTGGTATTTTTAAATAACAGAGTTCTTGTATTATCCATAGTGTTACAAATCGGACCAAAAAATACAATCAATTAGTTTGTCAAAAATCTTTTAAAAAATCGATTAAAAATCGATTATAGTCAACTAATCGATTAGTCAATTAATCGATTAATCGATTAATAACTAATTGATTAATCAGTTAATCGATTAATCGTCGACAATCGATTAGTTGCCAATTCGATTAATTAGTCGATTAATCGATTTTCGATTTGGAACACTAATTATCCATTCTTTATTGGAATTCATAATCCTCCCAACTATTTTTAAAAATTTTTCCAAATATAACTTCTTTACTTCTGTTTGAATTACTTGCTTTGAAAACTGCTTTATTTTGTTCTAAAAAATTAAGATTTTTTATCGTCATTTTTTGGCAGTATATAAGTTTTATGAATAGCATCAGTTATACCTCTATCATTTAGTATGGCTAAAAATGATTTGCCACCAGATATAAACATACTTTCAAATGAAGGTGAAGGTAATTGTGGTAATCTTAAGTTGGATAGCTTGAATATCAGTTCTGAATGATCTACCAATCCTGAATGGCATCTGCAAATCAATAATATTTTGGAAACCAATTCAAGTAAGCTAAAAAATTTTGGCTTCTCCACCCATGTTCTCAATTTATCTTATCAATAAATCACATTCTAGAATTGCACTATAAATATAATAGCTATTTTTGATCCTAACTTATTTAACACATAATTTGCATAAAACATTGGTGGGAAGCAAGAGGAACACCAATTTTGTCAGCTGATGCTTCTTCTCTGAAAATATCCAGCCAGAATAACTTTCTATATTCAATTCTAATCTTTTAATTTTTATCTTGATCCCAGGCAAAATTAAATCTAGCTAAATTTATTCCAGCTTGACCGTTTTTCCAGAGTGATTTAATAACACTATATTTTAGCTATGCTTTAAAAATATTATTTGCTAGTTTCAAACCCATTATCAATTTTTTGCAAGTTTCTGTAAAGTTATCTAATCTTACCAAACACCTTTAGATATTATCTCTTTAGCTTATTATCCTGACCATTTCTACCAATTTGCTATGTTTACGCCCATGAAGATTATTTTAAATAAAGATTAAAAAAAGGTCAGACGACTGGTTGAAATGTAACCTAAACCGATATAAAAATTTATTTGGGAAGTGTAATGTAATTAATATTTTATATATAAAAACTTGTTAACCTCAAATTCAATTAAAGCATTCTAATTCAAAGGAAAATGAATAAACTCATGTCCATGGCTTAAAATAAATTAAGAATTGAACAGAAAAGAACAGGTGCTGATTATTTGAATTTATTAAAACAATTGCAAGCAGAGAAACGTATTTTGTACTATCTTCAGAACAATTAGTAAGATTAAACCTGATTTCTGAAGATATTTTTTTAA